CCTTTGCCAAAGCCGCAAGTCATACACAAAAAAAGGATAGGAGTTGGGAACGGATACAACATGCAGTACTCAGTCGTAGCCACACCAGAGAGCACACAAAATGGAAGAATAAAGCATGGGGTATTTTTGTCTTGTAAATTTCAGTTTTTGTTCCCACCGCATGGGAAAGAATACTTACCATACCTTTGGACGGAAACTTTAATAAAGAAAACAAGTGCAAATGTGTTTGACAGCTAAAAATGTTTCCAAATCAATTTTTAACTTTTCCACGTACCAAACACAACCAACTTTTTTCCCCACCCCACTCTCCTGGCTAAATATTTTTTTCCATCCTACCAAACACCCCCTGAAAGGCTTTTTCTTTTTCCAAGTAGATGAATGACACATGGGGTTACAATCTGACAGGTAAGTATGCCGTATAATAAGGGCTAATAATTTGGCCTACAAAAAGTTTGATCTATTTGATAGAGGACAAGGAAAGATTTCTTTCATGTATAAAAGGAGAATAAGAATTTACAAAAAAAAAAAAAAAAAGGAGAATAAGAGGAACATACCATCGAGCTGAGCGGGTTTGTTACGCGAGATATTTTTTTTATCATGAAAATTTTGTTTTAGAAATGTGATAGGAAAATATTTTGTCCGAGAAAATGACAAAAAAGTATATGGTAGTCCAAAATATTGTTAGAAAAGTTGAGTTAATTGTTGGGAAATAAACACCAATTTCCTCTTCAGGGTGCTGAAAAAATTTCAGCTCAATCGGACCACAAACGAATAAGATATCACAGAATCTTCAGACTCTATTCCTCCCACTCTTCACCTGCGAATTTTCTGATTTTGGTGACTGGTCTCTCCCTTCTGTCTTCTCTACAGAAATGCTCTCCTCACACACTCAAATGGCAGCTGAGCATACTACACAAAGGAACCCTAGGTGTGTATTCCTTATTGGGCTGGGCATTTGGCCTTTTAATTGGTAAAGGCCCAACATTAATTTGATTGATGCTATATTTAGTCGATTGTAAAATATTGATGGGAATGTTATCAAAAAAAAAAAAAAAAATATTGATGGGAATGTGAATTGAATTTAGCAAATTGTCCATCATTTTTTAAAATATTGTACGTCAATTATGAAACAAAAAAGTTTTTTGGTCTCAAAAAGTAAAATTCAGAATCCGAATTCAAGGGGAAAAATACTATGTGTAGGGAGGTATTTTTTTTTTCAATTTGTAGTTACAAACTCAAATGCTAGGGAAATTATTTGACGGGAAATTATTTATATTTTTTGATATCAAACATGGTCAAAAAATACACCAAATCCACTTTTCCATTATTCCTATGAAAATACTTATATCAAAAATCCCCTGAATTTTTGCATTGTGAAGCATTTGGAGGCACAATGTTGAAGAAGAAATTAGAAACTTTTTAATTTTGAGAATAAACAATAAATTTTAACCAACATTAGAAAATAGTTAACACCATTTCAGTGAAAAGGAGGCTTGTATTACCCTTGTATAATTTCTTAAAAAAATATTAAAAAAAAACTGTTAAGGATACACAAATATAATATATTAAATTAACATTCAAGTATTTATTATGTCATGAAGACAAAAAATAGTCTAAATAATCTTACTGCAATGCAAGAGCTTGGAAGTGAATGCACATATATATTAAGAGGGATCAGTGGAGAAATTATATAATGTATTTGTCAAAGAATCAATAGTTTCAAAAGTTTAAGCTGCACATGCCACTTTTATAAGAATTTTATTTAATTACAAAGACAGGGTTGAAACAGTCAGGTTTAAGAGGCTTTGACATAATGCCAAGAACAAAATATCCCAAAAGTTAAAGCTGTTAAAATAAGGCTGGGAAGAGTTTTTGATCGACATCTCAAAAAGTAATAAGATGTTCAAGATGTCTCTCGATGCAAATTGAGTTTTCACTCCCCCTCATTTCTCACCTATACCAAAGAGGTCAATAATGCAACAGTCAATGCCTGCATCCTATAGTACAAAACTAAGATACTACATAAACTTGATAGTATTCAGGTTAGAATGGACGATAATAAAGATGACCTAGGTCATCAAAAGAGTGAAATAAAATCTAAAGAATTTTGGGATACACCACCCCTAGCTCAAAGGGTGGGAATATCCAAGGTCTACTGTGCTAAGAAATTTCATAAGAGAAAGTGGGGGGCGGCGAGGTTTGAACCCGAGACTCGAGGCTCTGATATCATATAAAGAACTTTGGTATACACCACTCCAAAAGACCTTATAAACTCCACATTAGTTGGCTCATACAACCAATGTGAGACTATATATCTCAACACGTCCCTTCACACGAGAGCCCATTGGGCTTGAAGAGCGAATGATGACAGACCTAGTCTACATGTGCTAAGAAATTCCACAAGAGAAAGTGGGAGGCGGCGAGGTTTGAACCCGGGACACGAGGCTCTGATATCATCTAAGCTAGCTCAAAGGGTGAGAGTGCCCAAGACATTATAAACTCCACATGGCTCATACAACCAATGTGGGACTATATATCTCAACATAAAATAATACCTAATCCTACATTCCTAGGCTGCTATAGTGTCCATTCCATATGTGAAACTAAAATAGCCTAATCCAACTAAAAGAATTAAAAATTATATTAAAATTGGAAGAAAGAATAGGCATGACTTCGAATCGATCATATAATTTCCCAAAAAAAAAAAAACAGAAGAAGAAGAAAAAGCGAAATTGAGGTTAAAACATAATGGGTCGACGAGCTCCTCCACTACCCGAACCGATGTAGGAACTTGCAAACGGAAAAACTTGAATTCATTCATCTTACTAACCCAAAAACTAAAATAAAATAAAAAATAGGATTTAAAATTTTTCATATTATAAAATATAATTTTTCTCTTGTATACACATAAAAATGTGTAGGGTCCAATTTTTTTTCTTTTTTTCTTTTCTTCTCATATGACTTTATATGGACTCCACATATTTTTTTATGTGTATAAGAGATAATTTTCTCTCCTACACCATTAAAAACTTTAAACCCTAAGAAATATAAACATAATCATGATGAGCATAACCATAATCGAAGGAAATTAAGGTTGAGATGAAAACAAGAAATTGGAGAAATGATTACCAACATTCGGATTAGTCGAGTACATTAGGATTTCAGACAACGGTTCCTATCTATCAAAATAAAATAAAACTAACACTTATTTCTTTAAGTAATTAGAAGAGTATAATAAGGCATATTAAGTGCTCCTTAATCAGTCTTTTGATCATAGTAATGCGCATTTTTAAATATTTTATCTTATTGATCCAAAAGTAAAAGATTTTTTAAAAATAATGCAACAAGACACATATAGGTTTGCACATTCAAGTCACGTGTTACGGGTGCAAGTTAGTGCCTACTACATGCGTGGGCCTTTTGACGTATTTGAGACAAAATTTAAAACTTTTTATTGGATTAATACAAAATCAAAAGATTTTACCAATATAATGCAATGAGATGCTAGAAAGGTCCTATGCATTCAAGTCGCGAATGAGAGTACGTGATTTGTGCAAAGAAAAATTAGCGTTTGCCACATGATTCGAATGGTAAGACTTGTATAGGGTGTGCGGCATGCACTACTTAAATTGATGTGCATCTTTTAGCTTGCGAACAAGCAAAACGACACATGTCATGCATTTTTTAAAAAAAAATTCAAATAATGTAATTTTGAAACTTATTACCTAAGTAATATGTGTCTTGCATGGTGTGGGTGTGAGACCAGTCCCACATGTAGAGGTGCAAGACTTAGTGAATTGGCAATGTGTTGAATGCAACTGTTAACCTGTGGCAAAAAAATTGGAGCTAAATTATCCCTTATACTTATCTACATTTGACGTGTGACCTTATCTAACGAGTCCCGTATATCATATGGGACAAGTCATGCACCCACCTTATGCAGTATTCCTTGAATTACTTTATTAATAATTTTCAAAATTGCATTATGCCAATAAATTTATTCAAAAATTATATTACATTGGTCGTTTTGCTCGCATTAGTATTGTAAAAAAGCCACCATTTCCTTGAAAAGGAGGCGTGTGTAATATACCCTTATATAATTTCTTAATTTTTTTTTTTTTTTTTGAAAAACTTCTAAAGTGAGCTTATTTTTTAAGAAAGCAAGTAAGGGCGTATTATCACCCTTAATATTTTGTGTGTTAAAATCACTATTCTTTTTACAATAAATTAATGGTAAATACAAGATAATTCACTAAAAAAAATAATTCATGAATAGTTATAGAGATTTACTAACAAGTTTTTTTATATATAAATGAAAATTGAACACATAACTTAATAGAATTTATACAAAATAACTTAATAGAATTTATACAAATCCCTCACCAAACTGATAACTTTTAAGGCACCAATTTAGGTACACATTATAAGATATTAAATGAATATTAAAGTATTTATATTGTTGCGATCACAAAAAAATATTTAACACTTATTTCTTTTAAGTAATGGCAAAAGTATTTCTATAATTGTGATAGAAATATTTTTATCTGCAACAGACGCAAAATTTTTTTATATCTTCCAAGATTCACGAATCCTGACAAATTTTCCATTTTTTTTTAAGAGGAGGGATATTCTCACTACCAAAATTTACCACTATCAACTTACTACCTATCTAATCACCATTAGATTAACATTTTCTCTCTCTTCAAAAACTTATTAACATTCTCTCTCTTTAATCCAATGGTGATGTGATGGGTAGTAAGTTAGTAATAAGAATTTTTGGTAATTAGAATATTATCACTCTTTTTTAAATGAGTGAATTCTAATTTATTATGTTCTGTGATAGATAAAATTGACCCTTAAGTAATTAGAAGAGTATAATGAGATATTAATATACACACACTGACACACGAGTCCACAATTGAGTGAACATTTCTCACTTCTCCCTCGCTCTACTCAGTGTCAATACAGTTTCCTTCAAAAAAAAAAAAAAATTCATTTCTTCATTTTGCACAGTCAACCTATCCTTAAACCCCATCCTTCTCTATTGTACCAAAAAAAAAAAAAAAAAACCCCATCCGTCTCTTCAATGGGTTCCATCAACTTCAACCCTTTCGGAGGAAACTGGTTCTCAAAGCCCCCAAACCCTCTCCCTCTCCTCAACCTCAACCTCAACAACATCCTCACTTTCTCCGAACCCTTTTCCTCAACCTCCCCGAACTTCGCCGCCATCGGTCTCCCCAACATCTTCCGAAGAAAGCCGAAGAAGAAACCCGTTTCCGACGACGAACCTGGTCCGTACACTAAGTTGGCGCACCAGTTCTTCTGGGAATGCGAGAACCGACCCGATCACAGGCACACCCCAGAAGTGGAAAAGATCCTAAACGAACACCCAGTTTTCGAGAAGAGAGAGAACGCAACTGAGGAAGAGATAAAGGAGAACGAGGAGATGTTGGAGAAGCTGAAGAACAGTCCCGTGGTGCAGTTTTTGCTTAGGGCAGAGGAAATTGCTGATAAGATAAACGAGATGGAGTTGAAGGAGAATGAGAAGCCTTACCACAAGGAAGATTGGGATCTTTGGAAGAATGTTCCGAATGTGATTGGGCTTGATGGAAGGCCAATGCCGAGGAAGGCTTTGAAGACTAAGGAAGAAGCTGATGATAAGTTTTGGGATTTTGCTAGACAGTTCTTTTTTGGCCTTTGGGGTTTTAGGCAAAGGCCTTACCCTCCTTGTAAGCCTAATGATGCTGCTCAGTCAATTGGGTATAAGAACCTTGAGAGGCGCTACTATGATTGTGAGTTGAAACATGTTCTTAACTTTTATGGTTTTGGATTGTGTTTGGTTTGAAGAAATATGTGTTTGATTATTGTGTTTTTTGTTGAGAAGAAAGGTTCATGGATGAAGTTAGTTAGTTATTCTTTGAAGTACACATGAGTGTGGGAATGGATTCTTGTGTGTCTTGTTTAAGATGGCCAAGTCTTGTGAGACTATCTTAGTCATTCTTACAAATCAGTAGTGATGAGAGGAGAGTGAGTGTTATGATATAGAGTGAGAAAGTTATAACCATTGATTTGTTCATCGACAGAGTGAGAAAATGATAATCGTTGATTTGTCTATCGACAGTGTGTGTGAGGAAATAATACTTGTTGATCTGTCTATCGGCGTGAGCAGGGAAATGATATCTGTTGATTTGTCTGGATGGCTGACACCGTGTATGGTCATGTGAATGAGACATGAGAGAGGATTCATTCTCGTTCACCTTACAAGGTGATCTTAGTAAAAGTTCACTTTAGAGGAGTCTTATCTTTTTGTAGAAATGTTTAAGCTGCTTTGTTAATGGGGGATGGGTTAATTAATTGGTAGGAATGAATGAGAAAAAGGATAACCGTTGATTTTTCGAATTTGTCTATGGACAGAGTGAAGAAAGGATAACCATTGATTTGTTTATGGGCAGAGAGACGAAAGAATAACTGTTGATTTGTCTATGGACGACAAACTGTCTTACATGATATGTTCATGTTAAATAAGACATCAGAGGATTGATTATTCATCTTACATGGTGATCTCAATTAAAATTCACTTTAGAAGAGCCTTCTCTTTTTGTAGAAATATTTAAGCTGCTTTGTTAATGGGGGCTGGATTAATTGGTAGGGTTGAATAGCCTTGATAGAAAGTTCTTGCTTGGGTTTGAATCCTGATGGTGATCCCAAATATGTAGGCATTCAGTAATTATTGTGCACCCTGTCTTGGTTGTGGAACAACTTATCCACCACTTAAGTTGTTTATTTGCCAAAAAAGAAAAAAGAAATATTTTGGATATTTAGAATGGATAGTTGTGTACACTATGTTTCTCATTGTTTTTGTGTTGGTTGTTAATTGTATGACGTTATTTTTGTTTTCTATTTGATTTAGTTATCATGAGGAGTGGTGGATTTTACTATAAGGATCGGCTGGGTCGTACACGAGGACCGTTGGAGTTAATTACACTTAAAACTGCGTGGGCTGGTGGCATTATTGATAAGAACACTTTCATTTGGGGCGAGGATATGGATGAATGGGCACCCATCCACATGGTTTATGGAATGGAGCGTGCAATCGCTACCTGGGAAGGTCTGTTGAGTTCTATCAATTTTTTTTTTCTCTAATATATATTATTTGATAATTTATTGTTTAGACCTGAGCAGAGTCTTTTATGATGGAAATCAGAACTTAACATTTAGTATGCTAATGACCACTTTGAGGCATGCCAAGGAAATGGCACATTCTCCATGATGATTGGTGAATATAATGAGTTAGAATGTGTAAGATAATGTCCTGCAAAATAAAGCATTTGAACCTTTGCTTTTGTATGGGGTGTTTATTAGACACTCTCAAGGAGAGAGATCAGATAAATTTTGCTCTGCCCTACAGATGAGTGGTGACTTTTTCTTCAGACTTCAGAGTTTTCCATATTTTATGGTTGTATCCTCCCTCAGATATTGTTAAGTGGAAGGGAGAATATAAGGTTATCCAAAACTTGTTTTTGAAACATGTTCTGCTAAGCATCCTAAGATTGGAATATAACTTGAGAGTTAAAACCAGTTGTCGATTCCCACCAAATACATCTTTGAGGAAGGGCGAGGAGCTTTAACTGTGATTATGTAACACCCCGTTCTAGAACCGGATTGTTATCATTGCGTACGACATTAAGCGCAGTTACAACCACATTGGTTCAATTAGAAAACCGGATAAATTTTTCCTTTTTAAACAAGCCGGATTTAAATAACCAAGTGCGTGATCATAACAACATATATACTTCGCGGAATAGTGGGACTAAACTTAATATAATCTTCCCATTTTACTTGACAGTACGACGTTAAATGTCTTCATCACTTTCATTATCAAATTAATTCTAAACTCCTTTTATGATTCCCATCTTCTACTATGTTATAGTATTTTTCATTAGCTACGCGTGGGTTCAAACCGCGCTCAAATCGGAGCACCGTAGCCAAAGTTATGCATTTTCTAAGAAAAGGGTGCGAAACCTCCAGAACCCCGCGCCCGTAGCGTGAGATCCACGCCCAGAGCGTGGGAAAACAGAAAGTTGACGCCCCAAGCATGGGAGTGGCGCCCTCAGCGTGGATACTACTGTCTGATCTCGTAATTTGGCGCCCCAAGCGTGAATCTGGCGCCCCAGGCGCCATCCACAGGGCTGGGTGACCCAAAACAAGGTCATTTAACCTACCTATGGTTTTCCACTCATAACTTGAGCTATACTCACTCAAATTACACCATTTTGGTCTCTATGGAAAGCTAAGAGAAATGTCTACAACTTCCATAGAGACATCAAAGTCCAATTCCATCACATTGGGTATGAAAATTGGTCAACCGGACAGGATGTATTTGTTTTCTCAACATTTCCCAATTTAAACAAAAGGTACCTAATTGATTCTCAGCTCAACCAATTCAATAACTCACTACCTAGAAAGCATGCATATATTGAATTTCAAGTAGACATCATTTACAGTACATACTCATTACAAATCATGGAACTTAGCTTACAAAACACTATGATCATTCCCTTGGCTCCCATCAACAAAAGAGATGACCAAAGGCATGAGCATAGGCTAAGTCCATTCCAATATACAATTCATAAATCTATCATTTGTCTATGAATTACAATCCTATACATGTGAGCTACAAAACAACATGTATGATATCAAAATACTGGATCCTCATGCCTAAACACTAGTCCAAGTATGGCCACTTGCCACTGGTGGCTCCTGCAGCATCCTTACCTGAAAGGGGGTCCCCACAACATGGGGTGAGATATAAGAATATATCCAGTAAACCAGGGGTCCTTGGAGCATCTCTCCACCCCACAGTTCCATATCAGTGTAATAGCAATAACAATAATAATGCAGTAAATACATATCTATGCAAAGTGCAATAACATCTCCAGGAGAAATCCCTCGAGCTCTCAAGCTGTCCTAAGGAAACTCAGATGCGAATAGTCCTACTGGCCAACTAACTACCAAGTATGATTTACGCATCGTCATGCCACATACCAACAAAGGGAAACACCATCCTATGCCACACCAAATGCATACACATACGTATAACAAAGCATTACACTATTTTATTGCATTTATATACACTATAATCACCACTACCCTTTCAGGGCTTGGTGGAACAATCAAAGGAATTACACCCAAGGTCCGAAGGCTTACCTCAATGCTTCAGTCAACCTTTGTTCACCACCAACAGGTTCCACAGTCAGTCACTTACAATACTTCACTTCTCAAACAAAACCTACACAAGGTTTAATGCAATCAACACATATTGCATCCAATAACATCTCATAGCTATCAACCAAGCTATACAATTCATACCAAACATAAGCATGAACTCACCTATCCAATGGAGCTAATCAAGCTCCATAGCTTGCTCCAATGGTTGATCACTTACGGTTGGTCCAAATGCCTCAATCCTAGACAACACCAAGGCATAATCAACAACCAACCAAACCAAACCATTTATTAACAATGCAAGAAATCCAATATCAAGCATCACATTCTTGCCATTTACAAATATACTCATTTAGCTATCTAAGCTCATTTTCACCGATTAAACGCCGTTCCTAGCATTTTTCACAACATGCTCTAAGTTCCATTCTTCCTAGAACATGCTAATTTAACAACATTTCATCAAAAACCCTAAAACACTATTCATAAACCCTAACTCATGCAATTTTTCATGAAAACATGGTTCAAGGGTTAGAATCTTACCACCAATGGTCACACAACCAAGGATTGATGGCTCCTCAAGCTTCAATGGAGGTTGAAGCACTCAAAACCCCAAATTTCACCAAATGGGCGAATTTTTGAGAGCCAATATCCCTCTCCACAATACTCCCCACTCAAAACAAAGCTTGGATCATGAAAGAGGGGAAGATTTAGAGTAGTTTAGGCTTTTGAATCACTCCGATCGGTTAAGGATTGCTCCATCTAAGTTCTCTCTCCCTCTCCTTCTCTTTTTTCCTCTTCTTTCTCTCTTCTCTTCTGTTTCTGGCGTCGACGGGGAAATGGGGGGTTTGGGTTCTTTTTGGTTACTTTATCACTTAACATAGGTTAAGTGGTAACATGTGGGTATTGGTTCGTCTATCTATTCAACTCCAATAATTACCAAACTTTACCCAAAAGTCTGGAATATTTTTCTAGGAATATTTCCATTTCCATTTTTATATTTTGGGTACTTTTGCCTACACTCATTTTTACCACTTGTAACGCCTGACAACTTGCAAGGATCAACGACTGTCCCCACACACCAACACGAGACTTTTCAGCGTGCTTTGTCCTCACTCGCACACTTCCCGGGAAAACTTCCCAGGAGGTCACCCATCCCAGAATTGCTCCAAGTCAAGCACGCTTAACTGTGGAGTTCTTCCGATCCAGGCTACCAAAAAGCAGATGCATCTTGTTAGTATAGGTAGTACCAATTAATTTTTATAGGTAGTCCCAAACCGTGCAATTCTGGGATGGGTGACCTCCTGGGAAAACTTCCCAGGAGGTCACCCATCCCAGAATTGCTCCAAGTCAAGCACGCTTAACTCTGGAGTTCTTCCGATCCAGGCTACCAAAAAGCAGATGCATCTTGTTAGTATAGGTAGTACCAATTAATTTTTATAAGCTATCCCAAACCGTGCAGTCTCATACCTGCACAGTCTTTGGAATCCCTCTCTTTCAGGTGTCGATTCGATTCATTCATGCATGTAACCCCGCGCTGGAAGCCTGTCAGGAGCCGCTCTTTGTCCATGCCCTTTCGCACCGGCGATCACTCCCCGCCCTCGTCAGCGCTCGGGATGTTACAGACTAAGTCCCCGACTCGAGATTAGTTTCACTTGAATATAAAATAATATGTTGTGTATTAAGCTAATACAAAGAGTTACAATATATAGAGACCCTAATGGGCTTAAGTGAGAAGCCCAGATCTAATCCAAAAAGAATATTTACAGATAGGAAGTAATCTATTCAAATCTAATCAAATCTGTATATCTAATATTTCCTATTCTAACACTCCCCCTCAAGCTGGTGCGTATATATTGTGAGCACCAAGCTTGCTACAAATGTATTAAACCCGAGGACCTAGCTTTAGTGAAGACATCCGCTAGTTGATCATTAGAGTTGACAAAAGCTGTTTTGATTTCTCCTGGCTGAATCCTTTCTCGAATGAAGTGACAATCAATCTCTATATGTTTGGTTCTCTCATTAAATACATAATTAGACGATATATGTAGCGCAACTTGATTATCACAAATGAGTGTCATGGGTTGTTTCTGTTCACAAAGATGAAGCTCTTGAATCAACTGCTTTAACCAGATTAACTCACAGGTAGTAATTGCCATTGCACGATACTCAGCGTCTGCACTAGATCGAGCAACAACAGGTTGTTTCTTGCTCTTTCAAGAAATTAAGTTTTCTCCAAAGAAGACACAATAGCCGGAAGTAGAGCGCCTGTCTAAGGGTGATCCTGCCCAATCAGCATCTGAATAACCACAAATTTCTGTATTTCTCTAATCCGAATACAACAAACCTTTTCCTGGTGCTCCTTTGATGTATGGGAGGATCCTCACAGCAGCATCCCAATGAGAATCACAAGGGGAATCAAGGAACTGACTAGCCGTACTAACAACGAAAGAAATGTCTGGCCTAGTCACAGTAAGATAATTGAGCTTCCCAATTAGCCTCCGATAACGACCAGGATCAGATAACGTCTCCCCTTGTCTGGGCAATAACTTGACATTGGGATCCATGGGTGTATCAACTGGTTTACACCCCAACATATCAGTCTCTTCTAGGATATCCAAGGTATACTTCATTTGACAGATAGAAATGCCCTGTCTAGATTGTGCCACCTCAATTCCCAAGAAGTAACGCAGCTTCCCAAGGTCTTTTGTTTGAAATTGACTGAATAAATGCTGTTTTAACTGACGAATTCCAGCTTGATCACTTTCGGTGAGAATGATGCCATCAACATAGACTAACAAATAGATGCACTTATCAGGAGATGTGATCCTATAAAATACAGAATGGTCAACTTTACTGCGGATTAAGCCAAACGCCTGAACAGCAGAATTGAAGCGACTGAACCATGCCCGAGGAGACTGCTTGAGACCATATAAGGATTTGCGAAGACGACACACCTTCCCAGACTCCCCCTGAGTAACAAAACCAGATGGTTGCTCCATGTAAACTTCTTGTAAATCACCGTGAAGAAAGGCATTTTTGATGTCAAGTTGAAGGAGTGGCCAATGACGAACAGTAGCAAGAGCAAGAAACAAGCGAACCGATGCCATCTTAGCGACCGAAGAGAATGTGTCGCTGTAATCAAGGCCGAAGATTTGAGTAAAACCCTTTGCAACTTAGCGTGCCTTGAGACGATCAACATGGCTATCAGGTCCAACTTTCACAGTAAAAACCCAGCGACAACCAACTATAGACTTCTTTGGAGGAGCAGAAACAAGGTCCCAAGTGCTATTGGAATGAAGTGCAGTCATCTCATCAAGCATCGCTTGGCGCCACCTTGGATGGGAAAATGCTTCATTTATGGTCATAGGAATAGAAACAGAAGAAAGACTAGAAACAAAAGTGAAATGAGGAGGAGAAAGACGGTCATAGCTTGAAAAGGTATAAAGAGGATAAGGTTACGAGTAGTACGTGTACCTTTTCTTTGAGCAATGGGAAGAGTGGTGAAGGAGCCGGAGGGGAAGAATCAACAGCAGGGGGCGATGAGTCAGCAAGAGTTGAGTCGGCAAGAGGCACATTTTTACGATGCTGATAGGTTAGAAATGGACGGTCCTCATGTATAGAAGCAATAGGTTGCTCATCTGGAATAGAAGTACCTGCAGCTGGCAAAGACAAGTCAAGAAAAGGAACATGAAGAACATGATCAACCCGTGACACTTGAGATGAGATAGAATTAAAGGGTTGTTGATCAAGAAAAGTGACATCGGCGAAAACAAAGTAATGCTTAAGATCAGGAGAATAACAACGATAACCTTTTTGAAGACGAGAATAACCAAGAAAAATACACTTAAAGACTTTGGATGTTAACTTGTCTTTACCAGGAGTGAGATCATGAACAAAACAGGTACAACCAAAGACATGTGGGGATAGAGGATAGAGAGGAACATCTGGAAGTAACAAGTTATAAGGAATGTCATTATTAAGCACAGATGAAGGCATACGGTTGATGAGAAAACAAGAGGCAAGGACTGCATCGGCCCAGAAGTGAAGAGGAACATGCATGTGAATAAGAAGAGTTCGTGCAGTCTCAATGAGATGCCTATTTTTACGTTCAGCTACTCCATTTTGTTGTGGAGTGTGAGGACAAGTAGTTTGGTGTAAAGTACCATGTGTGGCTAAGAAATTAGAAAAGTCAACAGAAACATATTCCTTAGCATTATCACTACGTAAAATACGAATAGAAGCACCAAATTGAGTATGAATCTCAGCAGAAATTTTTTGATAAATAGAAAATAACTCAGAATGGTTTTTCATTAAATAAATCCAAGTACAACGTGAAAAATCATCAATAAAGGTAACAAAATATCGAAACCCTAAAATAGACACACTACAACTTGGACCCCAAATATCTGAATGAATAATTGAAAAAAGAGCATCAACTCATTTATTGACTCGATTAGCAAAGGATGAGCGTATGTGTTTCCCTTGCTGACATGACTGACAATCTAAAAAAGTCAGAAGACCGGATAAAAGAGGAGCCGTCTTCTGTAATTTTGAAAGACTAGGATGACATCATGGGAACTTTTGGCAGGACGAGAAGGAGAACTAATCTCTGAGTGAGCAGGAGAAGGTGCTGCCATTATAATAAATCACAAGGATATACAACCAAGTGAATAGAAACTAACCTGATCGCAAATCAAGAAGAGGTATGCACAAAAAGTGAGACCCACAAAGAACCAACCACAGATTTGGAAAAAGGAGGAGGAGGCGAGCTTCTCTGTCCAAGAACGACCGAAAAACCGGAACAGTACACACGCGTCGGTTGAAGGTGGTGCATGAGCACCACGCGCAGAGGAGACGGGCGGTGCGTGGAGGCGCGTGACTGACGTGACGGTGGTCGGACCTCCACAGAACTGGTCGTCGGGAGGAGAGGGTCCTGATCGCAGGTTGTTTGGGCTGAAAACTTGCCGGAAAACTTCTCCGGCGGCCGGAACAGTGACGGACGGTGGTTCCGGTGGCGGTCGGAGGTGCTGATGCGTTCGGAAATCACTCTGAAGGGGCTTACAGCCCGAGATGGCTTGCTGGAAGGACGCACTGCAAAGAAAAGAGGACTCCTAAACAGTGGGCTTAGGTTTTAAAGCGAAAACAAGGTTTTAAGCGAAAGCGAGGGTCCTCATAACAAAAGAGCTTTGATACCAACTTGAATATAAAATAATATGTTGTGTATTAAGCTAATACAAAGAGTTACAATATATAGAGACTTTAATGGGCTTAAGTGAGAAGCCCAGATCTAATCCAAAAAGAATATTTACAGATAGGAAGTAATCTATTCAAATCTAATCAAATCTATATATCTAATATTTCCTATTCTAACAATTTCATAGCCGGTTCAAAGAGTTGAAGCTTGTGAGAATACCGGGGGGTTGACTTGCCTCAAAGAGGTAATTAGGGTTGGTATACCAAAAAAGAAAAATCTTAGTTGTCAATAAAAGTCTCCATAACTGTTTCTTTAGTACATCACGAAAAAGCAGTAGAACTGAAATAAATCAATAATATTAAATGCTATTCTAGTATGTCTTCTTACTTACGGGTTTCATTTTTGATAGTGGGATTTTTACTACCTACTTCAAATAAAACAATGTATTGAAGTCGATTCATGTGCATAAGTTTCCAATTATTTAAACAAATCTCAATAAATCTCTTCAGTATTAAATAATACAGAATATAATAACCAAACTGGCTAGCCCTGAAACTTCGGTATTTGATAATGGTTTGGCAATTTTCTAGTTAGACTTGCTGCTGGAGCAACAGCTTTCCTTCACAAACTACAAAAAGGTATACCACCATGGGTTCCTCTTAAGGGATTTGAAGAGAAGACTTATAAGCAGCTTCAAGAAGAGGCTTATGAAAACAGGAGACGTGATTTAGCAGTGTTGGAAGCTAATGATGGTATTTGGCCTGGAGTTAGAATTCCAAGTCATGCCTTATTTCTTTGGGCTAGTGGCTCTGAACTGACCACTATTTTGGAAGAGGATCATATGCCCAACAAATACATTCCCAAACATCTTAGGTATGCATATGCTGGGACTGTTTGATATAAATATAATTTTTATTTGTTTTTTACTTTCTTGCATTTTTACATACAAAATAAGAAATTTCTACAAGTTTTCTGTCAACTATAGCAGGAAATAGTAATGAATTATTCACCAATTTGTTATGGTTACTAACTCTTGCATCCCCCTCCCCCCCACCCATTTTTTATTTGTTTGTTTATTTATTTTCTTTGGGTTTGGGTGGATGGCTGCGTGAGGCAGACAGAAGTTGGCTGAAATGATTCCAGGGTTGAGGCCGTGGGAAGTTCTGAGCATAGAACAAGCAATGGATCAAATAACATTTAATGGTGAGTGGTACCGTGAGCCACTTGGTTCATTTTCCACTGGTCCCCCATACATGAGGCACTGGAACAAAGACGTCATGGTATGTCCTTTCACTAAAGCATTTCAATTCAATTACTACCTATATTGAGGCTCTTTTTTCTTTCTCTTTCTTTTATATGTTTATAGTTATGACCTGCCTTACCCAATTACGACTTTTCTGTTTCATATCTTCGCTTGGTAAAGGGAAAATGTATATTATTAACTATAACATTTCCTTCCCTTGCCATCATTGCTAGGAAGGTTGTTACTTTTATCCCCTCGCCTACAGCCATAGTACCAGCCTCTTTCTCCTTAATCAAATATCCAAACAAGATGAAGTCAGCTGTTTAACTACCACTCTCTGACATCCCATTCTCTAGAAACCCTTCCTCTATAAGACCTCAAAGATGATACAATACAGTTTCTGTTATGGTTGCCTTTTATGCAAACAAATAGGAACTCAGATGATGCATGTAATGTGCATAAGATTTTGGCAAATACCCTAAACGCACTGCTAGTACATTAGAGTGCCTGTATAGTCCTAATTTTTGCCATAAATTGCTTTTGTCAAACATGAGATTTTATTTGCTTTGATTATTTGCAGGATTTGTATAAGATGTTCGAAGATCTTAACACAGAGTTGTACGAAAAAATGGAGAAGTCACTTCCTGGCTTTGATAAAATTATGACAAAGGTCCAGCATGATTTTTATACAAGAATTGAGAAAAAGTTGGAGAAGAAAGAGGCAGAGAAAAGAGAGGCCCGCAAGAAAGCTGGGTTGTCCAATCGTGAATGGCCTAGACCATTCCCATAGCATTATTTCTGACATGATTTCTGCAGATCTTATGGTAAGGCTATTGTGTATGAGTAGTTAAATTTTTTTAAATCTAATTACTTTGATGCAGGGTCTTTAGTTTAGTTCTTTCTCCTCCTATATTTATTTATTTACTGTCAATTATTTATTTATTTTTTATTTTTTTGCTTTTTATTTGGGTTCATGGACCGCCCACTATAGCTAGTATGGGATGAAGTTAATGTTGATGTTAATTACTTTGAACTGACCAATGTAACAAAAACTATTGATTTACCTGCTTACTGGCTAAAATGAAAATGTAATGGGGGGAAATGAGGTGAAAGTCTCCACCAGTTATTTGAGGTTTGGTTGACATACGATATTACTGATATTTAGACATGCTAATTTGGTTTACTGACATGACATTGCCTTTCGTAAGTTAATGTATATCTTGTTAGTTCTTTCTTTATATGTATTACTTTTTGTTGTATGTAAAAAATGAATCTTGAGTTTCAATTTAGATGCACTTTCAATATCTTAAACTTCCACACACGTGGTTGAATGATGTTGTTGCAGGGTTTGTGCTGGTTGTTAATATCTGAATAATTCATCAAATATACTACAACAGGTTGGTTTTGTTTGTTTTTTTGACTACTGGCTATTACAACAGCAGGTCTTTGGTTAGGTGCTTAACTCTCTACTGCAGAAGAGGAAGAGAGAAGAGACGGGGGAATGGAAGAAGAGACTAAAATAGGAAAAAAGTTGTAATTGTTGCTTTTTCCAAGTTTATAGTCGAGTACAGGTATTGTTCCAGCTTATTGGTAGAACTTGTTGATGGTTATCCTTAATTGATGCCAATCACATATTTGAAATATAACTAATTGAGATAAATCAGTCTCTTATTATTGCCAATTGCTAGCCTTACCATAATAGGAATATGATCCTACTTTGCTTGGTTTTGACCTATTTTTGTGTCAGAAATAAACTCAGCCCTTGTGATGTAACATGGGAGGTAATTACAACTACAATGACATATAACAATTCGTTTGAATTGAAAAACATAGTTCTTCCTGGACTCAAATTAGTAGGAGCGGGTGCATTAAATTGCAGGTACTAAGATAACAAGATAGAGAAAGACCCCTTACATATTTCGAACATGAACATGGAATAGGCATGTGCAATGGGAGAAAAATCGTAACAAAATGAATAGGTAGGAAATAAATTCTCCTAAACCCTAATTAACATGTCAACAATGGAAATTTTTAAGGTACCACGGTGGTACTATTTACTCCGTAGGGAAGACCAATCACAAAAAGAGAGAAGATGAAAGTGGGATAAAAAAAAGAAAAATAAAAAAATAAATACAAGTGACAAATTTTGAAAGGAAGTGGTATGTGTGACGTCAACAACATCAAAATTGTGATTAACAGGTTGACTTGTTTTTACACCACTATAACTATCAACTTCCTGTTAACTTTGATTTCTTTTCTCTATTTGAAAATGTGCTCGTAACCTTACAAAATTATATGATTTTGGACGCAGAAATTATGACTCTGAATATTTTGGATGTTTCATGTGGTACGAGAGATTTGAAAAACGAAAATTTTCTCTACGTTGTAAATAAGAAAAGGTTAAACTACAATTACTTTAAGGAGTAAATTTAAAGTGTCTTTAAAGTAATGAAGCTGGTCGTAGATATGGGAAGCTCGGAGGGGAAAAAAAAAATCGAGAATATCATTCTTTATTTTTTGCTTGCACATCCATAACAGCCAAAATTAGATTGAATTAGAAGATTTATGTCCATAATACAAATAAAAAAGATCAATCATTGAGTAATGTATGATCATATTTTGTCAAAACACGTGTACAATTTCATTTTGAAAAGTGACCCAGCGATGCGAATTCATATCGTTGAAGAGCATGAAAACTATGCAGCTTACCCAAAAAAATACATATAATAAAGCGTTTATCAGAATTAGGGACGTAAATGGGCTGGACTAGGCTGAGCTGGACTTTGGCCTTCCTGGCCCAAGCCTACGTAAAAAAAATTCAGCTTATCTGGCCTACTGACCTATCAAAGGCTTTATTTGTAGGCCAAACTCAGCCTATTTAAAAAAATAAGAAAGCCCGACATGGCCTACAAGCCTTGTAGGCCTACCACTGTAGATACTAAGCAAAGAAAATAATTGTATAAAACAAAGAAAGTTGCACTAGTACTTCTCGTAAGAAAAAAATAACAAACAAGAAAGAGTCAACATAATACCCCAACTTTAGAATGTATATCATAGAGGAATAAAGTCAAAGAAATGAGAAAAATAAGAAAAATACAATTATTTGGTGCTGAAATAAAGTCGACAAGAGAATGTCATTCATCTAAAAATTAGGGTTGGTATTGGTACTTTGCCTTGCCACATAAAATAAATATTATTTTATTATTTTATTTTTAATACATTAAATAGGCCAGCCTACAAGGCTTTGGGCCAGGCTTGACAAAATTGGCCTACGACCTATTTGTTAAAAAAGCTTTCTTAAAAGCTTAAGCCTACTCTATTTTTCTAAAAGGCCGGGCCAAATCAGGCTTAATGTAGGCCGGGCTGTAGGGTGGGCTGGGCCAGCCTGACCCATTACACCCCTAATCAGAATCCCCCAATGTAGATGTATAATTTCTTTGATTTTGTGAATTCGATTAATTACCAATATATTTTTACGCTTCCATTTTTTAAAGATTTTTACTTTAAAAATAAATACAAGTAAATATTAAAAAATAATAATAATTGTAAATTGTTAATTTAATTTTAAAATAAGAAATAAAATATATTTATTATTTAAAACGATAAATATTCAGAATACAGGACAATTTTAAGAAGCTGAGACGTAAAGACATGGCATTTACATAGGAGCCAATAATTTTCTTTTTTAAAAAATACAAAAAATAAAACTTGAAAATTGAAATTCATTTAACCCCAAAAACCAAAAAATACTCAAAACTAGGGGTAAAAGTGGGCTGGGCTGGGCCAAGCTTTGCTCCGAAATGTCCAAGCCTACTCCAAAAAATTCCAATTTGACTTGACCCAAGCCTAGTATGAGTCTAACTGTTAGCCTAACTTGACCCGTTTATAAAAAAACAAATGGTCTGGCTTGGCCCGTTAGCCTGTTAATTTTTAACTTCCAAGCATAAGCATGAATCAACTTTACGAAGTACTCAAATTATGTTGTTACACCAAAAATCATAATTTCAACGTCCAAACAAAATCATGACTCATAACAAGACTTATACAATATGCATTTAAGTCATTTTCAAAAGCAAAATGCTCAAACTAAATAACATATATTTCATCAGATCCAACAAACAAATCCATACTATGTAAATTAAAATAACTACATGAATCCAACAAACACATCATGATGCTTGTAGTAAATATAACATTTCCCAAAAATCTTTTAATATATTCATATACACAATCTAACATGTTGAGATGTTGGTTCCTCCTATATAAGAAATAAAGTAAGATTACTATTAAAATATAATCGAATATAATTAAGTTATAAATAATTGTAATTGATTAAATTTATATCTTTTATTTTTCCTTCAAGGCATACTTACTCTATTTTATTTTATTTAAAATAAATAGTATAATATAGGCCGACTGGTAGGCTTATAGGCCCGACCTTTTGAAAGTGCGCCCACGGCCTTTTTATTAAACATGTTTTTTTAAGACCCAAGTCCGACCTATTATACAAAATATACTAGGTCAGGTATGGCCTGATGTAGGCTGAGTCGTAGGCCCCTATAAGCCGGCCCGACCCAGTTTCACCCCTGCTCAAAACAGATGTTATTAAAATAAAAAAAAGTACCCAAATCCAAAAAATGAAAGAACAAAAATACATGAATAGCTTAGGGATTTGAATGGAGCGAAATACAGAGCATAAAGAAAAATAAAACAAAATGATATTAATTATTATTATTATTATAACTTAATTTATTTAAAATGTAAACACGTTTTGTATTATTAAATACCCCTATTTTATTTTAAAACATGAGATAGAATGAAACCTACTAATTATTTATTAATATTTTGTCATTCTGTATACTTTCTCATAAAAAAATAAAAACTTTATTTTATCATGTAATAAAATATTTAAATAACAATATAATAGTTTTATACTCTTTTACTTGATGTCATCACTCTACTCATCCCATCATATTCTTATATTCCTTCACAGACGTACATAATCATACCAGGCTCGCTCAAACGCTCAGAGGAACTTGATCTCTCACGAGCAGAACCCTCCAATATGGTTAGCTTCTTTGTCTTCAAACTAATAGCATTCAATTTATCATTTCTTGTTTCTTAACTCCTTTTACTTATTTTAACGTTTGAAATTTTTTTTCTTTCCTGGGTTCGTGTTATTACACTGGCATTTTTTTTTTGAATTTTCATTTTTTATTTGTGGGACCAGTTTTTTTTTTTTTTTTTTTTTTTTTGTCATTTATAGCCTTCTTTCTGAAGTTACTAATTGTACTATTATGCATTTGGGTTGTGCTGTTTGTGCTGAATTTTACTAGTATTTTTATTATTATTGTTGTTGTTGTTAAATGGTGTTGGGTCAAGTTGGACCCTCAAGTCAATTGCGGAAGCGAAACAGTAAAATGCAAGAGGAGAGAGATGGAGAAGAACACGGTCAATTTGTTTAACGTGGGAAAAAATTCTCCAATGTGAAGAAGTAAAAATCCACGGGACATTGGTCCAGAATCAAACTTCCACTATAAGAATAATGGGTTACAACAATCAAACATTCCTAGTCTTTCACTAGAGGTACAATCAAACGTCACCTACACTGGTGGTAATATCAAACTTCCCTAAAGAGGTCTCACTCAAACTTCTCTCTAGAGGTATTTTTCATCTCATCTCTCATTATTCTCATATCTCTAAACCTCACACACTATAAGCTTATATAGGGGAGAGAGACGATTCTAGACATTGAACCACTCAAATGATGTGTCCCTTGAGCCTTGCACCTTCATTAATGGAGAGACAATGAACCACTCAAAGGTTATGACCCTTGAGCCTTGCACCAAAAAAGGAGAGTTCCAATCTCTTGGAAATTGAGCCAATCATTGAAGAAGAAACAATTTCCAACAAATCTCCCCCTTCTGACTTCAATGCGTCGGGATCAGCATCATTCCGACACCTTCATAGCAGTCTTCAAATTTTCTTGCTGGTACTGGTTTTGTCATCATATCGGACCAATTTTGGTTAGTGTGCACTTTGACAAGTTTGAACTCTCCATCTTCCACCACATCCCGGATCCAGTGATACCTCACATCAATGTGCTTAGTGCAGGAGTGATAGGTCGAATTCTTCGCAAAATGAATTGCGCTTTGATTGTCACATCCCAGCTCGTACTTGTCTTGATCATGGCCGAGTTAAGAGAGAAACTTTTTCATCCAAAGCATTTCTTTGCTTGCCTCAGTCGCGGCTATGTACTCGGCCTCAGTTGTCGAAAGTGCCACACACTTTTATAGTCTTGATTGCCAGGAGATAGCTCCTCTTGCAAAAGTCATCAAGTATCCAGTCGTCGACTTCCTCGAGTCGGCATCTCCCCCTAAATCAGCATCCAAGAAGCCTTGCAACTCGGCTTTGCCTTCTCCAAATTGGAGGCATAAGTTGGTCGTACCTCTAAGGTACTTGAAAATCCACTTCACTGCTTCCCAGTGCTCTTTACCGGGGTTTGAAAAATACCGGTTCACCATTCCAACAGCATATGCCAAGTTGGGTCTAGTGCAAACCATTGCATACATTAAGCTTCCGACGGCAGATTGGTATGGGATCTTCAACATCTCATCTTTGTCTTCATCAGATCTCAGACATTGCTTCTGGTTCAGCTTTATGTGTCCGGATAAGGGGATGCTCACTGTTTTGGCTTTGTTCATGTTGA